AAGTCTTACTCTGTCGCTCAGGCTGAAGTGCAGTGGCATGATCTTGGCTCACCGCAACCTCTGCTTTCTGGGTTTAAGTGATTCTTCTGCCTCAGCTTCCTGAGTAGCTAGGATTAGGGGCACATGCCACTGCAGTCAGCAAATGTTTGTATTTTTAGTAGAGATGGAGTTTCACTATGTTGGCCAGTCTGGTCTTGAACTCCTGACCTCAGGTGATCCATCTGCCTTGACCCCCCAAAGTGCTGGGATTACAGGTGTGAGCCCCTGTTCTCAGCCTTTTTTATTTTTCTTAAACAATATTTTTATGAAAAAAAAAAAAGATTGTCAGTTGTCCTTAAGCTTGTTCTGGGAGTTCTCATTGTATTATAATATCTGCTAGTTCCCTGACACAGACTAGTCACTTAAATATTAATTGATATATTGAAAGAGCTGCTTTAAATTTTTGTCAGTAAGTGAAAAAGAAATATACATAGGTTGCTTTTTAAAAAGACATACATGTACATACACAAGTTTCTTGATATGACTTTGTGTTTTAGAAGATGTCTACTATTCTTTATACTGTGAATATACTAGCTGCAGTTGAGAGACTTCAATACAAATAAGAGACATACCTTGGAGATATTGCTGGTTCAGTTCCAAGCCACTGCAGAAAAGCAAATATTGCAATAGAGTTACACAAATTTTTTGGTTTTCCAGTGCATAAAAAGTTATGTTTACAGCCTGGTTCAGTGGCTTGCATCTATAATGCCAGCTACCTGGGAGGCTGGGGCAGAAGGTTAGCTTGAGGCCAAGAGTTTGAGACCAGCTTGGTCAACATAGCAACACTCCCATCTCTAAAAAGATTTTGTATAGCAGCTTTGCATGGTTGCACATACCTGTAGACCCAGCTACTCAAAAGACTGAGGTGGGAGAATTGAGCCTCAGAGTTTAAGGTTTCAGTAACTATGATCACACTACTACATTCCAGCCTGGGTGACAGAGTAAAACACTGTCTCAGAATTTTATAAAAGTTGTGTTTATACTATACTGTAGTCTGTTAACTGTGTGACGGCATTTTGTCTAAAAAAAAAAATTTTTTTTTTTTGCGTTGAAAAAATACTTTTTTTTTTTTTTAATTTTTTTTTTTTTTAAGACGGAGTTTCACCATGATGGCCAGGCTGGTCTTGAACTCCTGACCTCAGGTGATCCTCCCACCTTGGCCTCCCAAAGTGCTAGGATTACAGGTGTGAGCCACCGCACCCAGCCCAAAAAAATATTGCTAAAAAATGCTGATGATCATCTGAGCCTTAGACAAGTTGTAGTCTCATTGCTGGTGAAGGTTTTACTTCAGTGTTGATGGCTGCTGACTGGTTAGGGTAGTAGTTGCTGAAGTCTAGGGTGCCTGTGGCAATTTCTGAAAATAAAATAGTGTTGAAGTTTGCTGTGTCATTTGACTCTTCCTTTCATGAAAGATTTATCCGTAGCTGGCAGTGGTGTTTGTTAGCATATTACCTGCAGTAGATCTTCTTTAAAAATTGCAGTCAGTCTTCTGAAACACCACCACTGCTTTATCAATAGGTTTATGTAATATTCTAAATCTTTTGTTGTCATTTCAACAATGTTCACACCATCATCACTCGGAGGAGATTCTGTCTCAAGAAACCACTTTCTTTGCTCATCCTAAGAGGCATCTGTTCAAGTTTGATCAGGAGAGCCGGATATAGTGACCATGTGCCTGTAATCCCAGCTGAAGACAGGAGGATTGCTTGAGACTAGGAGTTCAAAGCTGTAGTGGTTATGATTGTGCCTACGAATGGCCACTGTACTTTAGCCTGGGCAACATAACAAGACACTGTCTCTAAAATTAAAACAACAAAAAACATTTGATAATGAGATTGTAGCATTTCAGTCACATTTTCAAACTCTACTCCTAATTTTAGTTTTCTTGCTATTTTTACCTTATCTACAGTCATTTCCTCTATTGAAGTCTTGAACCCTTCAAAGTAATTTATGAGGATTGAAATTACCTTCTTCCATACTCCTTTTAATGTTGATATTTTGACCTCTTCCCATGAATCGTGAATGTTCGTAATGGCGTCTAGAATGGTGAATCCCTTCCAGATAGTTTTAAATTTACTTTGTCCAGATCCATCAGAGAAATCAATTTATGGCAGCTGTAACTTTACAGAATGTACTCCTGAAGTAATAAGACTTGAAAGTTGAAATTATCCCTTGATGCTTGGGATGCAGAATGGATATTGTGTTAGCAGGCATGAAAACAACATTGTCTGCTTGTAGGTCTCTGTCAGAGTGCTTGAGTGATCAGGTGTATTGTCAGTGAGCAGTAATAATTTGAAAGGAATATTTTTCTAAGTAGTAGGTCTCAACAGTAGGCTTAAAATACTTGACAAACCTTGCTGTAAACAGATCTGCTCTCATCCAGGCTTTACTGTTGGAGTGGTAAGAGCACGGGCAGAGTAGATTTAGCTTAATTCTTCAGGGCCCCAGGATTTTTGGAATAGTAAATGAGCATTGGTTTTAACTTCTTTTTGAGGCAGAGTCTCATTCTGTCACCCAGGCTGGAGTGCAGTGGCGCAATCTCAACTCACTGCAACCTCTGTCTTTCAGGTTCACGAGATTCTCCTGCCTCAGCCTTCTAAGTAGCTAGGACTACAGGTATGCACCACCATGCCTGGCTAATTTTTTTTTTTTTTTTAAATAATGGGGTTTCACCATTTTGGCCAGGCTGGTCTTGAACTCCTGACCTCAGGTGATCCACCCACCTCAGCCTCCCAAAGTACTGGGATTACAGGCATGTGCCATCACTCCCAGCCTGGTTTTAACTTAAAGTCACCAGCCACATTAGTCCCTAACAAGAGTCACCTTGGCCTTTGGAGCCTTGAAGCCAAGCATTGACTTCTCTCTAACTAGGAAAGTTCTAGACATCGTCTTCTTCCAATAGAAGAGTGTTTTATCTATGTTGAAAATCTGTTGTTTGGTGTAGCCACCTTAGCAGCTTTTAAGTGATCTTAGCTAGATCTTCTGAATAACTTGCTGCAGCTTTACATAAGCACTTGCTGCTTCTTCACCTTGCACTTTTATGTTACGGAGACAGCTTCATTCCTTAAACCTCGTGAACCAACCTCTGCTAGCTTTCAACTTTTCTTCTGCAGCTCCCTAAGCTTTCTCAGCCTTTACAGAATTGAAGCCAGTTAGGGCCTTGCTCTGAGTTAGACTTTAGCTTAAGAGAATGTTGTGGCTGGTTTGATTTCTATCCAGACCACTCAGACTTTCTCTGTATCAGCTATAAAGTTGTTGTTCTTTCTTATTATTTGTGTGTTCACTGGAGTAGCATTTTTAATGTCCTTTAAGAACTTTTCCATCTGTATTTATAACTCGGCTGACTGGCGCAAATGGCCTAGCTTTGGGGCTTTCTTCGCTTTGAAATGCCTTCCTCACTAAGCTTAATTATTTCTAGCTATGGGTTTAAAGTGAGAGACATGTTATACTTCTTTCACATGAACTTCTAAGGGATGCTGTTGGGTTATTAATTGGCCTAATTTTAATATTGTTGAGTCTCAGGGAATAGGGAGGCCTAAAGAGACAGGACAGAAATGGGTAAAGAAAGTTGGTGGAGCTGTAAGAACACACACAACATTTATCATTTAAGTTTGCCATCTTATATGGCTAGTTGGCAGCTTCCAAAACAATTGCAATAGTAATATCAAAGATCACTGATGACAGATCACCATAGCAAATATAATGAAAAAGATTGAAATAGTATAAGAATTACCAACATGCAATACAGAGGCACAGAGTAAACACATGCTGTTGGAAAAACAGCACCAGTAGATTTGTTCAATGTAGGCTTGCCACAGAACTTTAATTTATAAAAAGTATAGATCAAGCTGGGCATGGTGGTGTGTGCCTGTAGTCCCAGCTACTCTGGAGGCCAAGGCAGGAGGATTGCTTGAGCTCAGGGGTTCAGTGCTTCAGTGAGCTATGATCATGCCTTGTGAATAGCTTTCTGCAAATAACTCCAACCTGGGAAAAATAGTGGGACCTCATCTCTTTAAAGAAAAAAAAAAGCAAAAGTACAGTATCTACAAAGTACAATAAAACAAGGTATGCCTGCACTTTTCCAGTGAACAGAATGGATTGGAGATCTTACACACACACACGCCCCTGCACTTTTTCAGTGAACAGAATGGATTGGTGATCACACACGCACAAACAGCCAGCCACCCATACACCATGCTCTTTATATGGGACCAAACATTTTAACCTTTCTTGTACAGTCTACTTTGAGTACTGTTTTGGTTGGACTTGGGAAACTTAAAACATCCCAAAAGGGAGTGGCTGAAGTGATAAAAACGGTTGGTAAAAATTGCAGCTGAAATTCTGAAGGTAATGAACATGTTGCACTACAACTTTTTGTGGGTGAATACGTTCAATTTTCTTATATTAGCAAGTATAACCTAATAGACTAGAACCTCCTCCTGTATGTTTCTTGCATGTCTGTTGTCAGGCACTTAATATACTTAGATGAGAAATTGTATAAATGCTGCAGTGTAATAATAGTTTATCTTAAAATTGTTACAGATTGTTTTGTTTAAAATGTTTGAATTTAAAATGTTCACATTTTGAATATCCAAGTGAATTGTTACTTGGAATAAATGCTAAGCAATATTTTTTGCTAAATTTCTTATTTATTTGGGGAGCAGGAAGAATGCCTTATCTTAATTTGAATCACCTTTGTAAGGAAGGTGCAGCTCAAAACATAGGCAATGTTAGGTGCCAGACTTTTGAACCACTGCCTGGTAAGTTGTCCATTTGGTTTGCTGGAAGCAAGACAGTGCTCATTTGGAATTGCCATGTTTGGGAGACGATATAACTTTCATTTTCAAAAAGAATTACAGAAAAATAAACAGTAATAAGATGAGATATTTAAATGTAACTGTGACAAGAATCTTTGTAATTACCATTGTTTTATATTGGCAGGGTTTGTGTGACTGCTCTTCTGCTAAAGTAGCTTAGTAAGTAAGCCTTGTCAGTTTGATTCATGCACTACCAAAACCTAGTTAACTTTTACTGAAATTGACTCCTTTTAATAAGCTGGAGGCAGCTCCAGCAACTAGATAGCATTTCTCTTTTCATACTAACGCAGAATAATGTACAGTAGCAGATAAACATTTTTAATCTCATGAAAGCATATTAGTTTTCTACTTTTTCTCTTGAAGAACTAATGATTTACCACAGTAGAAATTTTTTCCAGCTTTTTGATGGCAGTGTCAAGAAAGTATATATTTCATTGATAACATACAATGCAAATGGACAAAAGCTTTGTACGAATATTGCAGTTGTGTTTCTCACTTTGTCCATTTCCTTATTTTGCCTGTAGCACAAGTGGAAGTGCTGTCTGCTGCACTACGTGCTTCCAGCCTGGATGCGCTTGAAGAGACCATCAATATAGAAAAGAGAAGTGATTTGCAAGATGAACTGGGTATAAATGAGCTACCAAATTGTAAAATAAGTCAAGATGATTCTGTGCCTTTAATCAGCGATACTGTTGAGGTAAAAAACAGTAAAGTGTTTACCAAGTGAGAGTAGTTTGAATCAGAAGTCTTTTCATTGGGGAATAGTTTTAGCTAATCACTTTTAGTTTGTATGTTCTGTTTGTTGCTGATTTTTTAGCTCTTCCTTGTTTTCATCACATGCTGTCCTTGTGACATTAGTGTCATATGAAATGCCTGGAAAAGTAAACCCCACTCCTGTCTATATGACCATTTGGTAGACTCAATGTTAATGTAGCTCACTGCAGTGAAATAGTCTTACTGGAAACAAAGCCCTTTATCAAGAATAATTAACTCTTCCCTTTTCTTTTTGGAGAGGTGCTTTGTTTCTGATCGGACCATTTCACTGCAGCAAGCAACACAATATTCTGAGCAGAAGATCGGGACTTGAGGCCATGTTGCGGAGGGCCAGTGACATTATCTGGACTCTGGAGTGTGAGGGTGGGTACTGATCCTAGCATCATCTTCACTGTGTACTTGTAGCTGTTCTCTATGATCCTTCCCTAATTTCCTGCTACATCTCAATCAAGCCAGCATTATTTGGTAACAGTTCTACTTAGCCCTTGTTTTTATAAATGGGGAGAAGGAATACCCCACCGCTTGCCAGAATCGCATGGTCACAGATCATACTGGCTTGAATGAGAAGCTCAGGAAAGAGTGCCTGCACACCTGCACACACACTGGGGATGGCAAGAGGGTTCTTAGAACATTAGTGCGTTTCTGTTTTGATTTCTGTTAGATGGCATGTGGTATAGTTAGAAACCTGTATGATACCACTGCTTTGGATTGAAACCCTGACCATTTATTGGAGATTTGAATAGCATTAATATATCTGCATCTTAGAAGGTTTTTATGTTGTTGTTACTGTTTTTGGCTGTTAACATATATATAATTTGTGAAATTAGATATTAACAGCCAAGAATAGAAATAGAAGAAAAACTGCATGTGACACTCCATGGTCTCTAGAACAATGGACCAAAAGAATCCTCCCAGTACTATTTTATAAATAAGCCAATTTGAGCTATTTGGACCATTTCAAAATTCCTTTGAAATATTATTTTTAATTACTCTCATTTTTCTGGAATTGGTTTTCATACATTTGGCAACCTATTCAGCAAGTTAGATTTAAAGCAGGGAAAGTTCTTAGGTATGTTTATAAGCTTTAAAAACATGAGGAATTTATATGTGTTATTACTTTTGGCAGTCTTGAAAGGTAAGTAACTTAGATAGCTAAAATGAAGATGTACAGACAGGACAGCTCTTTAAGTAGTTATTTTTTCCTAACAGAATATGGACTCCACTCTTCACTATATTCACAACGATTCAGACTTGAGCAACAATAGCAGTTTTAGCCCTGATGAGGAAAGGAGAACTAAAATACAAGTAAGTGACCAAAAAAATGTGTTCTTTTGTGTGTCTGTTCCTAATTCCTCTTTTAGAGCCCATTTCTGACCTAATTTGACCCTTCTTTATGATGAATGTTTTAAAAATTATGACTAGTATGTCATATTTTCCATTGAAATAGTAGAGGAACATGTAAGCACTTCCCTTTCCTACTCCTGTGATCCTACACCCTGCTATCTTCCTTCATGTATCTTCATGGGCACATAAATGTACACATGTTCCCCTTTTTATCACTCAAGACAACTGTGGTCATCCCATCCTACCTGGGTATGTCCTCATGTTCACGTTGCCAATAATTATAAAATACATCTTGATTTCAGAGATGAAAATATTAAAAAAAAAGGCTCAAAGCCATTTTAAAGTGCCATCAGTAACAAGCTGCCAGGAAACTGTGCTCATGGAATCATTGGAATGTGATAGCTGTGCCTTGCCTTGCTCTTTTCTTTTCTCTTCTAACAGTGTGACCTGGTGATCTCTCCTGTAAGCATTCCAGGACTCCCTTACCTTCACAGCAGCACAACACAGTGTTAACACCACACCTGTTGTCTCCCTCATAAGAAACCGTGGGAGATGCTACCTGTTGTAGTTTCACTTTGATGCTATAAGTAGTGCTGCATTTACCATGACTGCCTGTAACTTGTTGTTTGCTTCTAGGACTTTATTTTTATTTGAGATGGAGACTCCCTCTGTCGCCCAGGCTGGAGTGCTGTGGCGCCATCTCGGCTCACTGCACCCTCCGCCTCCTGAATTCAAGCAGTTCTCCTGCGTCAGCCTCCCAAGTACCTGGGACTACAGTCACAAGCCACCCTGCCCAGCTAATTTTTTGTATTTTTAGTAGAGATGGGATTTCGCCATTGGCCAGGCTGTCACGAACTCCTGACCTCAAATGATCAGCCTGCCTTGGCCTCCCAAAGTGCTGTGATTATAGGTGTGAGCCACCACACCTGGCCTGGACTATATTATTATTGTTGGAAGTAGATTTCCCAGGTCAAATGGTATATTTTGTTGTTGTTATTTTTAGAGATGGGGTCTCAGCTCCCTCTGTCACCCAGTCTGGAGTGCAGTGGCAGCATCATAGCTCACTGCATCCTCGAACTCCTGGTCTCAAGCAATAGATCCTTCTGCCCCAGCTCCCCAAGTAGCTGGGACTATAGATGTGCACCACCACATCTAGCCAATTTTTATTTTATTTATTAAAAATGAAATCAGTATTCAAAACAATAATGTTTTGAAACATGCTTCTTCCCCACTTATAGACATATTTTCAGTATTTCAAATCATTGTTTTAATGAGTTTATTCCCATTTTTATTTTGTGTATATGGGTAATTAGTTTATGTAGTTCAAAATTCAAGATACTTAAAAGGCATTCAGTGATGTTTCCTTCTCAGTTTTTCTTCTCCACTCATCCATTTTGCTTCCTGAGATATAGCCAGTTTTACCTTTATGTCCTTCCATAGCTATATTGTACACACCTAGGCAAGATTGCAAACATGTTCTTCTTTTCTTCACATATATACAAATTGATTAGACATGTGCTCTTCAATTTTGTATAAAAAATTGCTTAAATTTTCATCTAAAGAAGCCATGTTTTTAATTTTTGTTTTGAGGTAAAGTCTCACTGTGTCACCCAGGTTGGAGTCCAGTGGTACTATCATGGCTCACTGCAGCTTCTACCTCTCTAAGTTCAGGTCATCTCACCTCAGCCTCCTGAGTAGCTGGAACTAGAGGTGTGAGCCACCATGCCTGGCTAATTTTTTAATTTTTCAGTAGAGACAGGGTCTCACCATGTTGCCCAAGTTGGGCTCAAGTGATACACCCTCCTTGGCTTCTCAAAGTGCTGGAATTACAGGTGTGAGCCACTGTGCCTGGCTGTTTTTTTTTTTAATGAACATGTTGTAAATTGTGCAGAGCACCTGTTATACTGCATTTGCTGGGTTACAACAAACATTGTCATCTCTGCTGACATTTAAAGGTGCTGATGTTATTTTAATATGTCTTTTCGATTTAGTAATTAATTCTCATTGTCGTTTGAGCTGTTTTCTGTTTTAAGATGTTATCCATTGTTTTCCTAGAGTTGCTTTTATTTGTTCATATATGTTTCCCTTAACATGGTTTTCGTATCTCTTAGTTTATTAGATACCAGAAAATTTAGCATTGGTATTTCCCATTTGTGATGCTATGTTAAAATCTATATATTTAAAATAGTTTTGCTCAATTTATGTCTAAACTGCTCAAAACGCATCTCAGCTGCTCAGTCACTGTGGTTTTTCTTTCTCCATTAGGATGTTGTACCTCAGGCTTTGTTAGATCAGTATTTATCTATGACTGACCCTTCTCGTGCACAGACGGTTGACACTGAAATTGCTAAGCACTGTGCATATAGCCTCCCTGGTGTGGCTCTGACACTCGGCAGACAGAATTGGCACTGTCTGAGAGAGACATATGAGACTCTGGCCTCAGACATGCAGGTGAGTAAAGCAGTTAAAGAATTAGCAGAACATGCCTGTGGAAAGCACAGTGCTTGCTTTTCGTAACCTAAAGAATTTCTGTTCGTGTTCTAGCATGTACTTAATGTTATAGGAAATTATGTATGGAAGAGCTTAAGAGTAATAACGGAGTGTGTTCTTTTTCGCGCTGTCAGAGCCCCACAATTTGGCTTCTTCATTTTTATTTACATCGTTAGAAATTGTTATCACATTCAACATGGTTAAGTTTCTAACTTAAAATGTGTTATTATCTAGAGTTTATCTGTCGATTTATCTGTAGTTGTTGATAATATAGGATTTAATTTTTCACATAGAAATAGTATTATAAATGCTTATTTGATTTTCACACTAGATCTCAAAATATTTATTTAAGCTGTAATAGAACTGTAGTGTTAGCAAGTATGAAGTTCTGGGCCCTTCGTGCCATGAGCATTGTAGTACAGATGGAAGAAGGTCCATGGTTATTGCTTTCTCCTTGTCCACACACAGCACCCCCACCCCTTTCAACAGAACACACAAAGTAAACCCTTGCCTCAGGTCATTTTGTCTGGAACTTTGTGACTGTCGTGTGGTACCTCTTCCTAAGCTTGGTGACCTAACCTCCCCTGCCAGGGCTGATTTCTGTGTAACAGTTTGCCCCTCTTCGAACACACCCATTCTTTCAGTGAAGTTGATCTCTCAGTTATTAAAAAAAAAAAAAAGCAGCCTGATTAGGCTAATTTGTACTGCAATGTCATGACTTTTCCTTAAACTTCTTAGTAATTACTGTATTTTTCAAGGAATCAATGCCATCGACTCAGCAAGTTAGAAGTTGCAAGTAATCTTGATAGGTCATGTTCCTCCTTTGACCTATGAGGATAGGAAAGCTGGGCCCAGGAGAAGTGAGTTTATCTGTGTTCACATGCTTCTTAAGTGCTGCATCTGGGCATGGAACCACAAAGGCCTAATTTCCATAGAGTGCTTTGTCCTGTGTATTCATGTTTTCAGTCTTTATTCCACAGAACTGTAGGGTTCCCATGGGTTAAATCTCTTTGGGCACCTTGGTGACTGATGACTCAGAGTCTGGATGGACAGTTTCCTCTCTTTGCTGCCCCTCTCTTCCATCAGAACATCTCTCCCTTCATCTGTTTTATATGTTAAACTTGGGTGTAAAATGTTATTTCAAGAGTGGATTTTGAGGGGAAGGGAAAGGAAATAAAATGTTTGCTCTAAACTGTTTCTCTTTAGGTAAAGTTTTAAATTACTGTGTAAAAATTTTACAATTAAACGTTATTGTTCTGTTTTGTTTTTCCTAATCCAAGGTTTGGTTGTACAGGAATCTGAAGGGGAATGCTGGGGAGGGTACTAAAGAGCCTTTGGTCCATGTGCAGCCTCAGCACATTAGGGGTCCGATGTTCAGAGAACTACAAAAACTATATTCTTAATGATTTCTAAGCATTTTTTCTTCATAAATGAAAGGACAATATTACGTACTATGCAGGGATTTAAACATTTTCTGTTAAACTTTTTTGATACATAATTTAGTCATGAATGCATAAATACATAATTTACATAATTTAAAATTAGTACCTGTTATTACTATTCTGATTTAATTTTTGAGATTAGTAACATTCATATATAAATTAGCCTTCATATATTGCCTAAAGTTTAAAGTACTGAGCACTTTGCATTTAGCTTACTAATGTGTTTTCATTTCTGCAGTGGAAAGTTCGACGAACTCTAGCATTCTCCATCCACGAGCTTGCAATTATTCTCGGAGATCAGTTGACAGCTGCAGATCTGGTTCCAATTTTTAATGGATTTTTAAAAGACCTCGATGAAGTCAGGATAGGTGTCCTTAAACACTTGCATGATTTTCTGAAGGTAATTTTTAAATTCTTTTTCATAAATACACAACAAAATTCTGCAGTAAATCTAAATCTTTATCTTTTGTCACCAAGAGAGGTTCTTGTGTGTTCCTGTGTAAGAAAATACAGCTATAAGCTGATGTCAAGATGTGACTTAAAAAAGAAGTAGTGCTATAATTACACTTTCACTGTTAAACAGTATTAGATGATAGTTTACAGACATTTGTACCTTTTTTAGTTTTCAAAATTATCGAATGATGAAATACATGTAAAAAAAAAAAAATCATGAACTGCAGTCATCCCTCAGTATATGCAGGGGATTGGTTCCAGGACCCCCAGGCATACCCAAATCCATGCAATACTCCATTCCTGGGGAACCCACGTATAGAAAAAGTCTGCCGTCTGTGTACTCATGTTTCGCATCCAGGAATACTGTATTTTCAGTCCTCATTTGGTTGGGAAAAAAATTCAAGCATAAGTGGACCCATGCAGTTGAAACCCATGTTGTTGAAGGTCAAGTGTGTATTAAGTTTGGAGACTTTATGTGGTATTTCAGGAGTCTGAGAGTTTACCTTTAGCCCTCACTCCTTTGATGTGGAAGCTCTGGTCTCCAAAGCGAATAGCCCTGATTTTTTACAAGTTGTTTAATCCTGAAGTACTGTTGCTTGTTTTTTAGACTTTAGCCTTGAAATTGACTCTAATAATTCTAAGGCTTGAGTGACAGAAGTAATTGTAGTCCTCCCTTTTAAAAACATTGAGGCCGGGTGCACTGGTGTTAGCTGGGCACGGTGGCTCACACTTGTAATCCCAGCACTTAGGGTGGCTGAGGCAAGTGGATCGCAAGGTCAGGAGATCAATACCATCCTGGCCAACATGGGGAAATTCCATCTCTACTAAAAATGCAAAAAAATTTAGCTGAGTGGAGAATGGTCCTTAGAAACTGAGATTCATTTCCTGGCTCAGAGCTCAAAAAAAAAAAAAAAAAAAAACAGAGCCGGGCGCAGTGACTCAAGCCTGTAATCCCAGCACTTTGGGAGGCCAAGGCGGGTGGATCACGAGGTCAAGAGATCGAGACCATCCTGGTCAACACAGTGAAACCCCGTCTCTACTAAAAATACAAAACATTAGCTGGGCATGGTGGTGCGTGCCTGTAATCCCAGCTACTCAGGAGGTTGAGGCAGGAGAATTGCCTGAACCCAGGAGGCGGAGGTTGCGGTGAGCCGAGATCGCACCATTGCACTCCAGCCTGGGTAACAAGAGCGAAACTCCATCTCAAAAAAAAAAGAAACTGAGATCCAGGCACTGGAAGTGCTCAGTGCTCCTGGGCTGTCATTTCTTTTAGGCCGTTTCAGGAGCTAGGAGGTATGTTGCTTTTTGTTCTTTTTTTACTAACTTCATATTGTTATGACCTACATCCAATTCAACACTGTTTCCTCTCTTTTTTTCACATTATATATATTTTTCTGTTTACTTGTGGTAAGAAGTCTGTTCTTAACAACGTTAATGTATAATATGTAGTTATTTGCTCAGTTCTAAACATAAATGAAATAGTTTCAGAATTACTCCACCAATAATAATTACGACATCAGATCAACTACATAATAGAATTGCCTAAGTACATTCTGTCCTTAGAACATCCCGTGAAGAGGTATGGTTAGAGTACTCAGTTCATACTTTGGCTTTTTTTCCTGTGTGATTGTTTTTGATTTGATGTACAGTTAGGTTGGTTGGTTTCCATTTATAAACTTACCTTTAAATATTTGTAGAGCAGCTATTAGAATACATTTCTTTGTTTTTTTTCTCTCAGCAAGTACCGAATGCCTACTCTGCTGTCACAGTGCCATACACAGGGCTTACATATGTGGTTAAGAGCATAACCACTGCCTTAAGTGGGGCCATGGCAACAAGGATGTCATATGAATAAGGGGGGCAAGTCCTGCAATCAGGCTGTGCCCATGGTACTGTGGAGTTTCGTGTGGCTCACTGATTGGGACCAGGAACAAAGATTTCCAGACAAGATGATGATTCCTGAAGGCAAATGAAATTATTCAGGGAAAAACAAACAATACCAAATTTCAAAACAAATACAGCTAGTACATTTTCTCTTCAGAATAATTAACCATGTTATTTACAGTCTCTTTTCAAGCACTCTAATAAAAGAAATAATGTCTGTACCTTGTCCCTGTAAATATTTTTATTTTGTTACTTTAGCTTCTTCATATTGACAAAAGAAGAGAATATCTTTATCAACTTCAGGAGTTTTTGGTGACAGATAATAGTAGAAATTGGCGCTTTCGAGCTGAACTGGCTGAGTAAGTTCTAACCATTTATTAGATTATGTTTTGGAGGGGCGTATATTTACTTCGTTTTTACCTTTCCTCAGTTTGTTCATTACTTTGTGTAGATCCAAGTTTCTGTGTGGTATTCTAGCCCTTTAACACTTCCTGTAGTACATGTCTTACTGGCAGTGAATTTCTTCAGCTTTTTTTTTCTTGAAAATGTCTTTAGTTTATCTTTATACTATTTTTATGGTGAAATACACATAGCCAAATTGGCTGTTGATGACATTTAGTACTTCCACAGTGTTGTGCAACCATTCCCACTATCTACTTCTAAAATGTTAATCCTCCCAAAAAGGAAAACTCATGCCAAATAAGCATCTCCTATCTGTGGATTTGCCTGTTGTGGACATTTCACCCAAGTGGAATCATATAACATTTGGCCTTTTGTGCTTGGTTTCTTCATTTAACAGTGTTTTCAGTGGTCTTCCATGTTGTAGCCTCTAGCTGAACTTGCCTGCCTTTTTGTGGTTGAGTAATAGTCCACTCTGTGGATATACCACATTTGTTTAATGCATTCGTCTGTTGAGGAACATTTTGGTTGGGTGTGTAGTCTTTTGTGAATAGTGCTAGTAGGAACATTATGTACAAGCTTTAATATTTGAAATCATTTTCAGTTCTTTTGAGGTGGATTTGCAAGACTTATGGTAATTCTGTGTTTAATTTCTTGAGGAACTGCCAAGCTTTTCCACGTAGCTGTATCATTTTACATTCCCATCAGTAATGTATAGGAGTTCCCATTTTTCTACGTCCTTCTTAACACCTATTTTCCTATTACATTTTAAAAATGTTTTTAATTGACCAAATAATAATCGTGCATATTTACGAGGTACATAATGATGTTGCATACATATCAGATAGTGGTCAGATAAGGGCAGTTAGCATATCCATGACTTACTTACCATTTATAGCTGTTCTGCTGGGTGTGGAATAGCACCTCGTTGTGGTGTGATTTGCATTTCCCTAATGACTAATGATGTTGAACACTTTTTCATAAGCCTGTCAACCATTTGTATATATTTTGTGGAGAAATGTTTATTCAAGTCTGTTGCTCATTTTTAAATTGGGTTGTTCATCTTGGGTTGTTGAGTTGTAAGAGTTCTTTATATCTTTTGGATTATAGACCTCACCTGCATTTTCAAATGACGTCTTTGCTGAGTATCGAATGTGGGGCTAACAGTTTGTCTTTCAGTATAAAGATGCCACTCCACTGAGTTCTGGCTTACCCACTTCTGACTTGAAATGCACACCTCTGCTTCTGCCATGTAATAAAGGGGTGTGAGTCCATCTAGTCAGGATCAAGCTGGATTTGCGTTTTGTTGTTGTTGTGGTTACCTTCAGTGTACTTTGGGCTTCAGTTTTTCTCACTGTGGCCTGCCACTACCATTGCCATTTGCTGCAGGTAGGAGCTAGGGTACCAGTGGACTTCTAGTGTGGGTATTCTACCCAGCACTCAGCTGTCCCTGGACCCCTGTATAATGGGTGGGACCTCCTATCTATGACTCCCTGCAGCTTCTCCTGGAATAAGGAGCATAGTTCTCTCCCCAGCTGCAGTGTCTTTACTGGGCCCATGGAGTGGACAGGCTTTGGGCCCCTCCACCAGCAGCTTAAGCCTTTTGCTTTGCATGAGAAAAAGACTCAGCAGAGTGCTTGATGATTCATGGCTGTCCCGTCAGTCTCTTCTTCTGCCTGCTCTGGTATATCTCTCCTGTTTCCAGGCTGGAGTGCAGTGGTGTGATCTTGGCTCACCTCAACCTCCACCTCCTGGGTTCGAGTGATTCTCCTGCCTCAGCCTCCCAAGTAGGTGGGACTACGGGCTTGTGCCACGACGTCCAGCTGATTTTTGTACTTTTAGTAGAGATGAGATTTAACCTGGCCCTGGCTGTCTTTCTTGAAGCACCCATGAGAGGCAGGTACCCTGTGGAAGTTGGAAGGTTTGCCCAGGAATCTTAGCTTCCTGTGTCGGGCACATCTGGCTTTGTTTGAGCCACCCGACGCTCATGCCGACTCACGTGCCATCCACCACTACCTGGCCCTGGGTATCTGGCTGCAAGTCGAGCTGATTTCTCCCCACCCTGTTATGTGCCAGCAGGTGCCCTGACCATCCGGGCTCTGCTGAGGGGCAGCTCTCTTTCCCCTCTTGGGAAGTTAGGTTATTTGGGTGCCTTGCAACCCACGCTCTCTGATGAGCTCAAAAAAAGATCCTGGGGCTGGCTGTGGTGGCTCACGCCTGTAATCTCAGCATTTTGGGAGGCTGAGGCGGGCAGATCACCAGGTCAAGGGATTGAAACCATCCTGGCCAACATGGTGAAGCCTTCTCTACTAAAAAATACAAAAATTAGCTGGGCATGGTGGCACGTGCCTGTAATTGCAGCTACTTGGGAGGCTGAGGCAGGAGAATTGGTTGAACCCAAGAAGCAGAGGTTTCAGCAAGCTGAGATTGCGCCACTACACTCCAGCCTGGCAACAGAGGGAGACTCCATCTCAAAAAAAAAAGATCTTGAAATTTATGTAGCTTTTTCTACTGTAGGGTCATTCTTTGCAGTTTTCTGCTTTCCAAGCAGAAACTGATGTCCTGTTTGGAATTTTTATTCTGAACTTTGTCAGAAAATAAGTGTATCTCTTTGAGGATGTGTGTTTGTATACACAGGTGCATTTATCATTGCATAATCTATATTCATTTTACAGTTGACTTTCTGTTTATTAGAAATGTAAGTCATCTTGAACATAAAATCTGAAAGGCAAATGTTTCACATCCAAGATATTTCTTTAAGGATGCCATTGAAGCTATTCACGTTAGCCTGGCGAGTGTCATAGAAGTCTCAGGTCCCCTCATATGTGATGAGAAAGTTGCTGGAGGACGCCCTCCCCCTGATATCCCTAGCAGCAGGTACACAACAGGCTCCCTCCTTCATCGGGGACTTCTTACTGAGAAACTGATTTGTAGATGGAAGCTTCTCAGCACATTCTCAACTATGACCATGGATCAATGTGGGCCATGTTCCAGTTGAACATACTAGGAAATGCTTTGCTCTGTCTCAGTCTCCATGGACACAGAACTCTACAGCTTTTGTTTTCCTTACACTCTAAGGAACTCAAATAGCATGTAAATGCATTTCCAGATACACAGAGACTAGAGGTAATTCTGCACAGGAGAAGTCTGCTTAATTGCTCCTCTTTGCATGTGTTTGAGACAAATGCTCAGTATCCAGTATTATACATTATTTAGATGAGTAACCTGTTTTCATTTGTCTTGCTGATTTTTAAACGTTGTCTTTTTGTAATTCCTTTTTGTAGACAGCTGATTTTACTTCTAGAGTTATACAGTCCCAGAGATGTTTATGACTATTTACGTCCCATTGCTCTGAATCTGTGTGCAGACAAAGTTTCTTCTGTTCGTTGGATTTCCTACAAGTTGGTATGTATTGAACCTTTAAAATTTTAGATCAGCAAACTCTAAGATACTAGGATGGAAGCTGTTCTTAACTTCTCCATGCTCCCCATCCCAGGTCAGCGAGATGGTGAAGAAGCTGCATGCAGCAACACCACCAACATTCGGAGTGGACCTCATCAATGAGCTTGTGGAGAACTTTGGCAGATGTCCCAAGTGGTCTGGTCGGCAAGCTTTTGTCTTTGTCTGCCAGGTAAGCAAGGCCCTAGGCTTACCTGTTTGTGAGGTTTTCTCCTAGAAGAATGTTTCTTCTTTAACTTCCTACCTCTCTGTCACCCTGTTCCTTATTCTTTTGTGTGTGTGTGTGTGTGTGTGTGTGTGTGTGTGTGTGTGTGTGTGTGTGTGTATTGCATTTTACATTCTGGGGTACATGTAAAGAACATGCAGGATTGTTACATAGGTACATACNTTTTACATTCTGGGGTACATGTAAAGAACATGCAGGATTGTTACATAGGTACATACATGGCAATGTCGTTTGCTGCCTCCATCCCCATCACCTGTATCAGGCATTTCTCCCGATGTTATCCCTACCCCTCACTGTCCCTCCCCTAGTGCCCCAGCAAGGACCTCAGTGTGTGATGCTGCCTTCCCTGTGTCCATGTGTTCTCACTGTTCAACACCCTCCTATGAGTGAGAACATGTGGTGTTTGATTTTCTGTTCTTGTGTCAGTTTGCTGAGAATGATGGTTTCCAGATTCATCCATGTCCCTACAGAGGACACGAACTCATTGTTTTTTATGGCTGCATAGTATTCCATGGTGTATATGTGCCACATTTTCCCAGTCCAGTCTATCATCGATGGGCATTTGGGTTGGTTCCAAGTCTTTGCTATTGTAAACAGTGCTACAATGAACATATGTATGCATGTGTCCTTATATAGAACGATTTATAATCCCCTTTGGATATATACCCAGTAATGGGATTTCTGGGTCAAATGGAATTTCTATTTCTAGGTCTTTGAGGAATCGCCACACTGTCTTCCACAATGGTTGAGCTAATTTACACTCCCAGCAACTGTGTAAAAGTGTTCCTATTTCTCCATATCCTCTCCAGCATCTGTTGTCTCCAGATTTTTTAATGATCGCCATTCTAACTGGCGTGAGATGGTATCTCAATGTAGTTTTGATTTGCATTTCTCTAATGACCAGTGATGAAGAGCATTTTTTCATGTTTGTTGGCCTCATATATGTCTTCTTTTGTAAAGTGTCTGTTCATGTCCTTTGCCCACTTTTGAATGGGTTTGTTTGTTTGTTTTCTTGTAAATCTGTTTTAGTTCTTTGTAGATTCTAGATATAAGTCCTTTGTCAGATAGGTAGACTGCAAAAATTTTTTCCCATTCTGTTGTTTGCCCATTCACTCTAATGATTGTTTCTTTTGCTGTGCAAAAGCTCTGGAGTGTAATTACATCCCATTTGTCTATTTTGGCTTTTGTTGGCAATGCTTTTGGTGTTTTAGTCATGAAGTCCTTGCCTAAGCCTATGTTCTGAATGGTTTTGCCTAGGTTTTCTTCTAAGGTTTTTATGGTGTTAGGTCTTATGTTTAAGTCTTTAATCCATCTGGAGTTAATTTTAGTGTAAGGTGTCAGGAAGGGGTCCAATTTCTGCTTTCTGCACATGGCTAGCCAGTTTTCCCAACACCATTTATTAAACAGGGAATCCTTTCCCCATTGCATGTTTTTGTCAGGTTTGTCAAAGATCAGATGGTTGTAGATATGTGGCATTGCCTCTGAGGCCTCTGTTCTGTTCCATTGGTCTACATCTCTGTTTTGGTACCAATACCATGCTGTTTTGATTACTGTAGCCTTGTAGTATAGTTTGAAGTAAGGTAGTGTGATGCCTCCAGCTTTGTACTTTCTGCTTAGAATTGACTTGGCTGTGCGGGCTCTCTTTTGGTTCCATATGAAGTTTAAGGTGGTTTTTTCCAGTTCCGTGAAGAAGGTCATTGGTAGCTTGATGGGGATAGTGTTCAATCTGTAAATTACTTTGGACAGTATGGCCATTTTCGTAATATTAATTCTTCCTAACCATGAGCATGGAATGTTTTTCCATGTTTGTGTCCTCTCTTATTTTGTTGAGCAGGGGTTTGTAGTACTCCTTGAAGAGGTCCTTTATATCCTTTGCTAGTTGTATTCCTAGGTATTTTCTTCTCTTTGTAGCAACTGTGAATGGCAGTTATTCTTGATTTGGCTGTCTTTAAGTCTGTTACTGGTGTATAGGAATGTGTGTGGTTTTTGCACATTGATTTTGTATCCTGAGATTTTGCTGAAGTTGCTTATCAGCTTCAGGAGATTTTGGGCTGAGACGATAGGGTCTTCTAAATGTACAATCATGTCATCTACAAATAGAGACAGTTTGACTTCCTCCTTTCCTGTTTGAATACCCGTTATTTCTTTTTCTTGCCTGATTGCTCTGGCCAGAACTTCCAATACTATGTTGAATAGGAGTGGTGAGAGAGGGCATCCTTGCCTAGTGCCAGATTTCCAAGGGAATGCTTCCAGTTTTTGCCCATTCAGTATGATATTGGTTGTGCGTTTGTCATAAATAGGTTTTATTATTTTGAGATATGTTCCATTAATACCTATTGACAGTTTTTAGCATAAATGGCTGTTGAATTGTTGAAAGCCTTCTCTGCACCTGTTGAGATAATCGTGGTTTTTGTCTTTGGTTCTGTTTATGTGCTGAATTACGTTTATAGACTTGCGTATGTTGAACCAGCCTTGCATCCCTGGGATGAAGCCTACTTGGTGATGGTGAATAAGCTTTTTGATGTCCTGTTGCAGTCGGAATCCAAATCACAAAATGATTTGGGGGAGGATTCCCTCTTTTTGTATTGTTTGGAATAGTTTCAGAAGGAGTGGTACCAGCTCCTCTTTGTATGTCTAGTAGAATTCGGCTGTGAACCCATCTGGACCTGGGCTTTTTTTGGTTGGTAAGCTATTAATTGCTGCCTCAACTTCTGCCCTTGTTATTGGTCTGTTTAAGGTTTTGACTTCTTCCGCATTTAGGCTTGGGAGGATGCAAGTGTCCAGGAATTTATCCATTTATTCCAGGTTTACTAGTTTATGTGCATAGAGTTGTTTGTAGTAATCTCTGATGGTGGTTTGTATTTCTGTGGAATCTGTGGTGATAGCCCCTTTATTGTTTTTTATTGCATCTATTTGATTATTCTCCCTTTTCTTTATTATTAATCTGACTAGTGGTCTGTCTATTTTGTTGATCTTTTTCGAAAAACCAGCTCCTGGATTTACTGATTTTTTTGAAGAGTTTTTTGTGTCTCTGTGTCCTTCAGTTCTGCTCTGATCTTAGTTATTTCTTATCTTATACCAGCTTTTGAGTTTTTTTGATCTTGCTCCTCTAGCTCTTTCAATTTTGATGATAGGGTGTCGATTTTAGATCTTTCCTTGCTTCTCATGTGGGCATTTATTGCTATAAATTTTCCTCCAGACACTGCTTTAAATATGTCCCAGAGATTCTGGTACGTTTGTCTTCGCATTGGTTTCAAAGACCATCTTTATTTCTGCCTTCATTTCATTGTTTATCCAGTCAACATTCAAGAGCCAGTTGTTCAGTTTCCTTGAAGTTGGGCGGTTCTGAGTTAGTTTCTGAATTCTGAGTTCTAATTTGATTGCACTGTGGTCTGAGAGACTTGTTTGTTATGATTTCCGTTCTTTTGCATTTGCTGAGGAATGATTTACTTCCAATTATGTGGGCAGTTTTAGAGTAGGTGTGATGTGGTGCTGAGAAGAATGTATATTCCGTGGATTTAGGGTGGAGAGTTCTGTGCATGTCCATTAGGTTTGCTTGGTCCAGGTCTGAGTTCAAGTCCTGGATATCCTTGTTAATTTTCTGTCTCATTGATCTGTCTAATATTGACAGTGGAGTGTTAAAGTCTCCCAGTATTATTGTGTGGGATTCTAAGTCTCTTTGTAGGTCATTAAGAACTTGCTTTATGTATCTGGGTGCTCCTGCATGGGGTGCATGTATATTTAGGATCGTTAGCTCTTCTTGTTGCATTGATCCTTTTACCA